GGCAGACTGTGCGACCTCAAACAGCTGCCATTAAAACTGTAGCAAACTTACTAAGATGTGTTTTAGATTTTATATCCTCAAGTGACTTTTGATGATGGTCATCCACACTTTCTGGAATCTTTTGCTGTGTGTCCTGCACAAGGTAAAACATCTTGTAACCTTAATAATCCTTAAAACCTTTTCCAGGAAGGCTTTAAAGATTAGTAAGTGAAATAGGATTTTAGGCAGTTTTATATCATGTAAATTAAATTCAGTTAAAAAAAAAAGCCAGAGGGTCCACTGGCCACTGACTGAAGCAGCACAGTCAGCCTGCACCTGCTCTCTCCCGGTGGGTGGGTCTGTTTCCTCGGCTGACACTCACCAAGTCACGGAGCCCCGTGGTGTTCCCACGGCGCATCCAGCCCCGGTCACCGCGGCTGTGCTGCGAGACCCCGAGCGCCGGGCTGGGTCTGGTCTCAGTTTCTCCCTGGCTGGTTCTTCCTGATCTGTCATTTGCCGTCAGGGAGCACCCTCAGCTCCTGGGAACTCCTGGCCCTTCTGGGGCCCCTCTGGGCACCACGGCCGACTTAGAGAACACAGCAAACGCGGGGCTTCACCTCTCCCCGCGGGCCGGCCCTGGGACTGACGGTGAGGTGGTGACCGGGGGTCTCACGTGCACCTGAGCGGCATGTGGAGTCGGGGGATGGTCAACAGGAAGGGTCCCTTCCCGCTCTCACCACTGCCTTCCCTTCTGCCTCTGGTGCTGCAGGTGACTTAAATGTGGTGTCAGGCACTTCCTTTGTCACACTTGGGTGTAATTTTGTTTTGACCAAGAGCAGTGTCATGCGCGTTCTGTTCTGGCGCTGGCCTTGTGAGACGCCTTCCTGTCCGTCCCGCCCTGCAGGGGAGGGGCTGGAGGAGGGCAATGGGCACCCCCCCGGGGACAAACTGTGTCTAGACCGGGGCTGGGCGCGGAGGGGCTGTGCGGAGACTGGCAGCTGCTGCTTCCTGGGCAGAACCCGGATTCTGTGGGGACCGTCTGGCCCGGGTCCTCACGTAGGAGAAAGTTGAGAAAAAGAAACTTGTAAAATGTACTGGGGTTTGGGCAGGTAGCACGTGTCGGTCAGAGCCCAGCCTTCCCACTTGCCTTCCCTGTCGCCCTCGTGACCGCCGTTGCTTTGTGCCCCTTCTGCGTTAATGACACCACTGCCCGTCAGATGTTTCCTGTTAGTGTTTCCAAATGTGTTGTTACGAATTTTGCTTTTGAAATGCACGCATGGCGGGACTTTCAGGTAAGAGACTTGCGTTGATTTTAAAAATTCAGTGTGATCCTGTCTCAGGTGTTTTTTATTACCTGTGTGTGAAGTGTAGAGCGTTACCGTGCTTGTTTTGGCATCAAGTCCTGAACAGTAACCCATGTCCGGCAGGGCGGTGCTTCCCTGTTGGTAGAAACCACGCCCGAGTGTGCTGTGTCGGGGCTTCTGCGCCCTGGCTCCGGGTGACGGACGACGGGGGAGAAGCCCCGGGGTGCTGGCGCCCGTATTCTTTGTATCTGGAGTAAGGGCCGTTCAGGTGAGCTTACCTGGTGATAATGAAAGGGGTTCTTAAAGCGTGACTAGACCCTGCTCTGTTAAGAAATGGATTGCTGCTTAACTTACAGTGAGCTTGTAAGTGACAGAAATCTAATTTTAATTTCTTTTGAGGCTCTCTGTTTCTCCTTATTTAATACATGATCATGTATGTGCCTGATAAGAGAAAGTTTTGAGATTTGAATTCCTTTGTTATCGAAACAAAAGCAGTAAATTGTAGCATCATTTGAATTGTTTGTAGAAAGTCCACATCCCGGAGGGGATGATACAGGTCCGTGGTAGTGTGTGTGCTTAGCATGCGTGAGGTCCTGGGTTCAGTCCCCAGTACCTCCACTAAAAACAAACAAAAAAGTCCATATTCTGAGGGTAGAGGTGGGGGGAGTTCCTGAATAACTTCTTTTTCACGCCTTCCTCCTTTTTCAGGGGAGGAACTAATTTCTTGCTGAGGAATTGGTCCAGAGACAGAATCTGATGCTATTCTATTTTTTTTTAAGAGTATTCTTACTTATGCCCTTAAATGTGAATAGGATTTTCAAACATGCCAAATTCCCCTTAATCCTGAATACATAAAACCTTAAAATCAAATTGGGTATGTTGTGGAAAAAAAAACAGGAAAGAACTGCAGGAAAATTAATGCACTGGGGCCCATTTTGCATGTCGTCAGGGATACCAGTTTGTTGACATTGCATATTGTGCCTTCCTTAAAATTGTCAAATGTAAAAATACGCGCGCATGGACGGGGGAGACCTCTGATACCAAGTAGGTGATAGTTGTGTTTTGCTCTTGACAAATTCAAGCAAGTTATGTGTTAGTGGAAAGTAGTAATAATTGAGATGACTGTGTCCTGATTTCAAGTGGATTCTTATAGTTGTTACAAAATATCTAAGCATGTAAAATTAATTTGAATTCAGTGTTTTACATGCAAAAAAAGGTATGGATTGCAGGCTGGGGCTTCCAGAAGTGTGGGTGGTAGGGTGCAGCACTGGGTGCTTTTTCCAAATTAAAAGTGGTTGCATAAGGTAAGATGGATCACGACGTTGCTGGGGTTTTCACGGCGACCAGCCTGTTGGTGTGAATTTTGCTCCTCAGGCAGGTTAGTCATGGAATCTCTATTCCTTGCCTTCCCTTGAGGTGAATGGGTGCAGCCGTGGGAACTGAGCTTTTAAAGCGGCAGTCCTCGCCTTTCCGTCTTG